CTAACGCTAATGGAACGAGGCCCAAAAAAGGCCTTGTTACGCTACGCTACAGCGCTTTGTAGCGGAAAATACAAGCGCTGTAGCATAGCGGCTCTGTAGCTCTGCTAACGCTACAGCGTTGGCGAAAAAAAAACGGCCGCTGCACTACGCATTTTTGGCCCTGGAGCGTAGTGTAGCGTAGCAGCCCACCATCAATGTGAGGGAGACAGTGAAGTTGGAAGAAGGAGCAGAAAAAAAATTGGATGAGTATATGAATGAATATTATTATTATTTTTGATTTTTTTTTTTTGCTTGGATGAGGGAAAAAATAAGAGAGAAAGAAAATTCTATGTTGCATGGTTGATTACTGGTGTACTTGCTGTACACCTGTTTGGCACCTGGGTGTCCGAGCTCAGGATATACCTTGGTTAGCTACTCCTTGGTAGCTTAATCAGCTGTCACGGCAAGGACAACACAGTCTTCCGGGATATCAAAAAATATTGAATGGCCAAGTGTGGAGTTGAATATAGAAAGAGAAACAAGTGTAGAGGTTGAAGATAAACTCAGAGATAGAAAAAGGCTGATTATGCTCCACACTGGGCTACCTTTATGGCAAAAGACAGATACAATTGTTGGATGATTACACACTCTGGGCACATGACTGATGATGAGTAAAAGAGGAGCAAGATGATTTTTAAATGGCACTCATAACCTGATGTGGAATGGTGAATGAGGAGCAAAAAGAGGCATTGTGTGTATAGAAGATGTACAACAGCTTATATACTTGCACTCAAGGGGGCCTAGGTGAGCTCATATGGTAACCCAGCTGCTGGGTTACAACATTTGTCCCAGGTCCTACAGTAACAGGAGGACCCCCACTAGTGCCTATCAAGCATCCTTGTGTGGGATGTAGCAAAACATTTTTTTTTCTCAAATGTTAGATACATATATCAGATTGCGATGTTTTTTGTTTTGTTTTTTCTCTTACTTGTGTCTTTTTTTGGGGGGGACATTTGAAAGAAGAAAAAAGAAATGATGCTTGTGTTGATGTAGCTATCCAATGACCCACTGTTTCATAAAAGGAGGCTTAACACAAGAGTGTATTTAAAACATGACAAGGCTGCTTGACAGGTCCTACTAACACGAGACACGTTCCGGTGAATTTGGGGCGCTGAAACCTCGGGTGGCGCAAGTCCGATTTTGGCGGGGATTTTTTTTTTCCTGGGCTGCGCTGCGCTTGTGAAACCCCCTAATTTTTTGGTGAAGTCCTAAAAAGTGTCTCCTCGGCAACCAGCCAGTCAATCAGGAGAAATACAAGCATGCCCCAATCAACCAACACCAAACCAGAGAAAACCACTCAGCTCAGACGATCAACTCGACTAACAACCACACAGAAACCGAACAGCAACAACAACAACAGCCCAACAAACCCAAACTGGTCATCAGTAAGAACTACCATCAAACAACAAACCACCAATCCTACAGAACGATCCAAGAAAAAGAAAAGAAAACTGCACTCTCATGACATCACAAAGACCACCAATCGATCAACCAAACAGGAAAAGAAACTGAAGAAACTCATCAAACCGCAGCCCGAGAACAAAATGAACCAGACAACACCAACACAGCCTCAGTCCGAAAATATCACGAGCGAACCTGTTGTCACCGACAAGCAGTCACTTGGCTTCATCGAAAACGTATGTTCTCCCTACCCAAAAAAAAAAACAAAAAACAAAAAACAAAACAAAAAACAATCCCTCTCCTTTTCTTACTACTAAGCTCATCCAACCATATACACCAGGTCGATTTTATCAAATTCGATGATTCTGACCAGGAAGCTAAAGGCTCGTCTAGCAAGCCCAATAATCAAGAATCTCTGAACAACAAACGCCCCCGCGGAACCAAACGGAAATTGGGACACGTTGTCACGGAGGAACAAGCCGAGGAGGTACGCAAGAAGAAAGGACTGATCATCACCCCATGGTTCGATCGACTCTCCTGGAAAGGTCGTAACGTTCAACAGATGTATGTTATGTCTCCTTTCCTCCTCGATCCCTCGATCTGACTTGATTCAACACTTTTAATCAGGCTTACTGCCGAGATCGGCTCGTTTGTCGCTTACATCCAACCTACTTACGAAGAGCACGAACTAAGGCACATGATCATCCAAATGATCAGAAATACTGTCCAATCTAGATGGCCGGACGCTGACGTTGAACCCTTTGGGTCCTTTGGAACTAAATTATATCTTCCTGCTGGGTAGGTCGTTTCTCTGCCCCCCTCCCCTCAAAAAAAAAAAAAAGAACACTTTTTTGAAGTCATCACGTTCTCTTTATTAGAGATATCGATTTGGTAATTCTGTCAACTCAAATGATGAACGAACAAAAGTCGAGGATCTTATACAAGCTAGCCCCGTTAATCAGAGAAAATAATATTGGTCAAGATGTGGTGGTGATAGCAAAAGCAAAAGTGCCAATCATTAAGTTCAAGACGATCTTTGGCAACATCAACGTGGATATCAGCATCAACCAGACCAATGGCATCGTGGCCATGAAGAAAGTCACAGAGCTCCTGGATGACATCAAATACCTCAGCCACGATATCCGCCGCTCCACTCGACGATCTCGAGACCACCACAAGTCTTCCTCCCGCAAAGATTATCACCCTTCCCGTCGTCATCGTCGCACTCCCTCGCCAGAACACGCCGAAGATGAGATCAACGTCGGTCGGATCGTCCAGGACTTGGGCGCAGCCAAATGCTTGATTCTTGTTGTCAAATCCGTCCTCAAACAGCGTGGAATGAATGAAGTCTACACAGGGGGCTTGGGTTCATATAGCATCATTTGTTTGGTCGTATCTTTTTTACAAGTACGTCTCTCCCATCATTTCCGTTGAAAACAAATTCACCATATCAGCTCCTCTTCTGACCAACCGTACTTTCTATTCTAGCTGCATCCGAAAGTCCAGATTGGTGATATTGACCCAAACAAAAATCTGGGTGTACTTTTGTTAGAGTTCTTTGAACTATATGGCAAACACTTCAATTTCGAGTTAGTTTTTTTTTTCTCTGCCGAGGACAGGGAAATAAACTCGGATTAACACCATATTTCTTTTTTCAAAAAAAAAAAAAACGCGTTACATGTCAGTCAGACTGGAATCAGCGTT